CCCTCTCCACCTCCCCGACCACGGAGGCCGGCCATACCTGCGGCGCTGAGCTGCTTGTAGAACCGGTACTCCAGGTGCAGCTGCGGGGCCCGAGACTTAATTGGCTCCTGTGTGGACAGCGGAAGTTACCCAGCCCGAGGGCCTCTATTGCCTGCCCTGAGACCTAGCCCAGGGTGAGGGAAGGGGGACTCACCAATTTGATAGCCACGTATTCGTTTGTATAGAGATTCTTTCCTGTGGGGGCAGAGAGGCACATCAGCACAGCAGGGCCTACCAGGGCCCACCCTACCCAGCCTGAGCAGGCAGGAGGAAGAATTGAGACCCCCACCCTATAGGACCCACCCCTCCAGAGGGCCTCCTCCTGCTACCAAGCATCAAGGGCTAGGGTCCAGTCCTCCTGGGTGCTGGGAGTGAAAAGGCTGGGGGTGGCTAGACACCCCTCCCCCTGCCTCCCATCCTTTCCCCACAACTGTCTAAGTACCACAGGCCAGAAGTCACCTTGGGGAAGTTTTTCATGGCCTGCACAAGCGCGTCGCAGACCCTCTACATGCCCTCTCTCCTTCCTTAAAGATCACCAGCAGGGCATGGCATTGCCCTTGTGCACAAGGCCCCTACCCATCTTGCCCAGCACAGCCAGGCAGGGACCCTGCATCCCATATGGGTTAGGACAGAACCCAGGCGGGTCCTCCCAGCCCCCACCCACACCTGAGTACTTCCCATGAACTGCAAAAACCACATGCTCCACACCCTGACAAGGTGTGGTTCTTTCCACGAGACTGACTGACAGGAAGGAGGTGGCCAGTCCCTGATGCTGCCGGAACTCTGGAGAGACAAATTCCTAGAAGACAGCCTGGTAAGGTTGGTGGGACCTCACCACAGTGGCTCAGAGCCCGCATGGGGTCAGCCTAGCTCCGGATGGGGCCCTGCCCCCTTTGGCCAGACTCGACCCACCAGGCCCAGGCGAGGCTCCACATCTGCGTGTCCCGCACCCACTTGCCTTGGGGTCCAGGATGGAGTTGGGGCAAGGTCACGGTCTACAGGGTGACCTGCCCCATGATGTAGGGGCCTAGCTCAGCCCCACAAGCCTGGCCCCCGTGTGCACATCTTTACACGGCACACCTGGGCCTTTAACACAGGCCATCTCTGGTTCCAAAGCCCCACCCCCCAACAATATCCCTGTCCTCACGGTGTCCCCAGCCATGTTCCCCCAGCTTGATCGGGCACCGTCCTGCACTCATCCTGAGCAGTGCCCGCCACAGGAAAAGGCTTCAGCTCCTCTCTGCCAGCCGCAGCTGGACAGCCTGGGGGTCCGTGAAGACAGCGGCCTTGGAAACTCAGCCAAGCGGGGCTCCAGGCCCCAGAACCTGGTGCTGAGACTGCACACTGTCACGCCCCTTCTGGGTGGTCCCAGGTGGGGAGCCCCCCACGGGCCCCTCAGCCATTCCTCCTTCACTGCTGTCCTGGGTGTGCCACAGCCCGTGAGCCATGGCTCCCTCTGGCTTCCCTGTGTCCTTGACGCCACCCTGGTTTGCGAGGGACCTCCTGTTTCTAGTCATGGTTTATGGTCAGCTTGTCAGCTTCCCCAGGAGCTTCCCTGAGTCTGCAGAGGATTCAGAGGCGAAATCTCGACAAGGGCTCGTCCGCTCTACAGACGAGGCAAGTTCCCCCACTGGCTAAGCAGCGCCCTTG